TCGTTTGCGGAGCAATTGTAATGAAAACCTTCACCTCCAGTCCCTGTATTTCCATCTCTCCTCGTTTGTATTGGTGGTTTAGGCTGGAGCTACGGATATATATTTAATTGGTATAAATAATGCATTTTCATAGCTGAATCTTTCCTTAGCCCCACATTTGGTGCCAGAAACACCATTTTCATTTCGAACAGGCTTTTCTTGGCGCGTTCCTTCCCTCGGCCTGAGCAGACCCCTCTCCAGAGCCCCACGGCTGCATGCCGGGGGTGGCTTCGCAGCCGCTCCGCTTCATCCCTGCCAGGCCGGCACATGGCACACCATCCCAGTGACGGGGATGTGGCCCAGAACAAAGCTGGACGGGGAGCACTGGGTCCACGTTCTGCTCTGCCTCGTGCCACTGCAGGGAACTGGCAATAAAGCAGGGGAGGACGGGGTTGTCTCCTGTCCCACAGCCGGGACCCCCCAGCATGTCCCTGCTGGGTGCTGGAGCTGGTGACTAACCCCTCTTCTCCTGTCCCCCCCCTCCTTGCCTTCATTGCAGGGAGCATAATGCTGAACAGCATCACGGACGGGCTCCTGTGCTGCCTGATGGGCAAGACGACGAACGCCGTGGGGCCGCTGGACAGCGTTGAGTCCAGCAACGGCTACAGCTTCGTGGAGGTGAAGCCGGGGAGGATCCTGCGGGTCAGGCACAGCACCCCCAACCGCCCGGCCTCGGAGGGGCCCGAGGAGACCCAGCCCGGGGGGCCGGAGCGGGGCACGGTGCACTGCAAGCGCAAGATCACCGTTTACCGCAACGGGCAGCTGGTGATCGAGAACCTGGGAGACGCCGTCCGCTCCGAGATCCTGCACTGCCAGAACAGCTCGGGAGAACCCAACAGCACCGTGGAGCTGGAGCTCTCCGACCTGGCTGGCCAAGCTCCCCGCCGGCACGCCAGGATGCGGCACGCCGGGATGCGGCACGCGGGAAGCAACCGCTGCCCCCGGCAAACGTCGGAAGCGTAAACCCAAGAAAGTCATCAACATCGACTGCAAGAAGCAGATCACGAGCTGCAAAGGGACGCACAGCGACGTGGTCCTCTTCTTCATCCACGGCGTGGGCGGCTCGCTGGATATCTGGAAGGAGCAGCTG